CCCCGCCCGGGCGCGAGCTGTGCCGGCCGTCTCTCGCTCGACACTGACACGGTGGCGGCGGCGACTAAATGCGCACGCGCCACATAACACATCGATCGACAACAACGACGACCACGACGACGACGACGACGACGACGACGACGACGACACCACATCATGGCCTGCCTACTCGCCGCCCCCAATCGATTCATTTACTTAGTTATACACTGTACCTACACCTCCGCTATAACTCTACATTGCGACACCACACGACCAGAAACCGACACTACAAATCTACTTTCAATGGTTTGGATCCCGGCGCATCCACCAATTTTCTACCTATTTCTTTCTTACACACTACTTTCTACATTCTATAAAGTCACTATTGATAAGAAAGATTTTATTGCAACTCTCAAAACAATAAACAAAATTATCTATAAAACATTTGATTTAGAAAAATTGCTATCCCGGCGCATCCACCAATTTTATTATTACTATGATTCATGTTTAAAACCAAGTGAGGTTGTAAGTACAAATAGGTAAATGGTACAAGTTTAAATACCTATCAAATATCATATTCTTTTAATACGTGTTTTATACAAAGTGAGTTTAAATAATCCGGGTGGGGCATCGGTTACGCGCACTTGATTAATCGCGACTTCAAATTAATTAAAACTGACGATATTTCATATGCCTAACTAATGATTGATAGGGTATAATTTGAGAATTTTTCTAATTTCTTTGGATAATAAATGAGTCCGTAACAGTTTTGTGTGTTTTATGAATACTTTCTGTTAATTTACCTATAAAGTTTTTACACTAAATGAATCTGTACCTGTCAGCGCATCAAACTGTGATATCACAATTTGCAAACTTGATTAGCCAAATAATAGCTTTTTTTATTTAAACACAAACCAGACCCGTGATTTATGACAAAGTAATATAATTTGCCAACAAAAAAATCATTTAGCCGACCGCTTAAAAGGGTCTTTTTGTTGTAAACTTTACCCCAATTGCAGTTCCCCATTGTCACCTAAATTTCTGCGTAGGTCAGTATAAAAATTAGAATTAAATTTTTTGGAAGAAGATTACCTTTTATTTTTTTTACTTTGTTTGTGAATGAAAAATTACCAAAAAATTAGAAAATGTACCTTACCCCAAGTAAGTGTAAAAAAATTCAACAATTTTAAGTGGGAATTTTCTTTTTGGGCGTAACAGATGCCCCACCCGGTACAGTATGTTTACAGTCTAAAAGTTGAAATTTAAAGGAGAATTTTTTGTATCCTTGTAAATAAACAAGTTGCATTTAAATTATTTTGCATTTTTACTCAATATTGATCATAACTTTTCATTTCCTATGTTTATGTGTATACGTTAAGACTCACCTTGTGTATACTAAAACCACAATTACTTTTTATCTGCCCCATCCATTCGGTTTTTTTAACAACCAGTAAAATATGTCTCCGGCGGTCAGTTTTAAATTGAAAATTATTATAAATTTTTGATTTTTACTTTCTGAGAGTTATGTTGACAGTTTTATAAAAAATTTGATTATAAATTTTGGAGACAGTGATTTTTACATGATTTTTGAAGATTCGGAATACATGTTATTTTCGATTTTTTTTTAATTTTGTTTATGTCCGACCGTATAATAAAGTCTGCATTATGATATAATATTGCGGCCATAAAGTACCTCTTTATAGTACTAGTATAATAAAGTAACTTTACTTTCAATACTGTCAAAAGTATTTATTTATTTAAATTTACGAAATACACTCTACTACTTATTATTACAATAATGACAAGGCTTAAGCCTTGTTGAGTCTAATTCGAAGAATAAAATGTAGCAGCAATAACTGTAATATAAGCAAGTTTAAACTTGCTTTAAATCTTTTAAATAATCTGACGTTTCGTATTGAGAAATGCCAAACAGTTGTCAAAAATTAAAATTAATTTTATTAAGTTTCGCATTCGGACATAAAGCCTTGTATGCAATTTGTACATAATTAGGCTTTTTTTACGCGTCCTACTTAACCATAGGACTTACAAGACCTACATTGTGTAATTATTATTACATTAATAGCTATTGTTGTACATACATATTATATCGGGTGTTTCAAAAATGTGTGGCATAATTTTAACCACGAATACCCCTCTACAAATGAGAATAGAGAGCACAATATTTACTCACCTAGCTCAAAAAATAGAAAAATTACAGCTTTCCAAAAATCGGTATGGAAAATGATTTTTTGGAAATATTTTTGTTATCGTTTATCCGATTATTATGAAACTTTGCATGTCAAGGGACAAAAAGATACTCTTTGATATGGTGTAAACGGAAGTC